CGCCGGTAAGCAACCCCAGTAGTGCTAAGACTATGGAAGTACAAGGTACTCTGGAAACGCATTTTACAATCCTCGGCTCTACTTCCGGGATTGGGAGGTGGAGAAAAGAAGGCTTCCCCAAGCAATGGCATTCAAAGAGATAGCTCGTGAAGGGTGTGCGTCCCCCAGGTAGAGAGAGGGCCACAGCTCCAGGTGGAGGCACAGCAAGGCCAAAGGCCCAGCCTGTCTGCAGGTTCACAGACTTCTCAACCAGTCATTGTTTCCCCTTGGAAATACCTGGTGCTATGTAGGGTGCTGAAGAGGGTATTCATTAAGGAACCGAGTTAGTTAGGCTAGTTGGTTGCAAGAAAGAGCCACCCATTTATCAAGAAAGATGAAAGCAAGAAAGAGAGAGAGATGGGGAGAGAGGGAGGGAGGGAGGGAGGGAGGGAGGAAAGAAAGATCAAGAGCCTTTTTCATCCATACATTTAGAGGGGAACAGGTGGAACTGAGTAAACAGTTCTCAGAATAGGCAGCCACAGTAAAGCTGGACTTAGGCAGGAGAAGGACCTGAGTCAGGCGCCCCTGGGGCATCTGTGCAGCACGTGCTCCTCGCCGGACTGCATGGCTGTCTGCGCATGTGCAGGCCTTCCTCACGCCTGCGTACTTGTGTGTGCCGAGGCCTTTCCAGCTGTTACTTTCTATGTCATAAGCACAACCATTCAGATCCTCAGGAGAGCGAATCTACTTGGGCAAGCCAGACCATCGTCTGTATTTGGGCTGCCCTTGGATCAGATGTAGTCATTGTTTTGGGGACAATGGATGTCTGCCTCAGGGTACAGAACACCCTGCGGGCCTCTTCAAGCGGGGACAGTGGGTAGGGCAGGTTTAGTCACAGGGCAGTCTGGAAAAGCAGAATCCTAATTGTACCTGATCCTTGCCGTTAAGTAATTTATAGCATCATTGAGATTCAGGTGATCTCTGGCATGGAAAAGTGCTGCAGATTTTAAATGCCAAACAAGAGTCACCAGGAAACCAAAATAGAGTGGGAAGGGAAAGGGTTTTGAGACTGACTCCTGTCGGTCACTAAGCCTTCGTGCTTTGGGGGGGGGGGGGGGAGGAGGGGGGATGATTTATAGACACCTGATTCACAAGGTTATTTAGGTTATTTTACAGGTCAAATAAAGTAATGTGGGAAGACTTTGTAAACCACAAACGCGTAGCGATGTTTTATTGTGAATATTATTATTATGACATATATTTACAAAATCATAAGAAGGAATTATTCAAGGTTCAGATGGATATTTCAAACATTAGTTCCAAAGGTCGTTCAAACCAGTGAGAGCGCACGTTGAATGCTCATTGACTGCTTCCTAGCGATTACCAGCCATGCTCCCTAGGCTTTAGCCTTTAACTTAATTGTGCCTTAGTCCTCTCATCTGCAAAAGGAAGAAGAATAATAGTAACTACCTCCGGTTATGATTAAGACACAAATGAGCTAATATCTTTAGAACCCTGAACAATCTGTGACTCGTACTAAATGACAGCTGCTGGTATTGCTTTTACTATTATGATCACTACCAGTTGCCCTGCTAATTCCTGTGTCAATCCAGTTACACAGAGATCTTGACAGGCCCGGGTGAGATCCGTGTCCATAGCAGGACTCACACCAGGGAGAGGCAGAGTCAGGAGATGGGGAGCGTCGGACAGAGGGGTGTGCCTCTCCGGTGATCATGGAGGTCTCGGGTGTTGAGATCGGAGGGTGCTCTGAAGAAAAAGGGAAGAGGGAGAAGAGCTTTTGTATCTTAACTTAGATTTCTTCCCTGGCAGCTTGGAGGACAGTTGGAGAGAGAATTCTAGTGTATGTCTGTGTTGAAGGAGGTAAAAACTTACGTATTAACTTTTTCATCACCTTCTGGTCCAAAGACTTGTTTGCTTCTGTGTCAGGCAGGGCTTTTGCTTCACACTGTTGCTGCTCCAGGAAAGCCCTGCCTACAGATTAATGTGGGAATTCCTTAAGTTGGTATCTAACACCTGGAACCTTGGCTGAAACTTTACCAAATAAATCAAAATTCGCATTGAGGTTGTATTAATGAAATAATAAATCTTTACATCTGCATTAGTTAAGTACCAATGTGTAACAAATTGCCCCAAAATGTAGCAGCTTAACACAAAAACATTGATTGTCTCAGTTTCTGTGGTGGGGAAACCAGGTATTGCTTGGCTGGGTCCCCTGACCCAGGGTCTCTCACAGGCTGCAGTCAGGTGTCGGCCTGGACTAAGGTCATGCCAAGTCTTGACTGGGGAAAGGTCGCTTCCAAGTGCACACACGTGGTTGTTGGCAGGATGCAGTTTCCTCTGGGGTGTGGGACCGGAGACCACAGTTCTTCATTGGCTGTTGGCCGGAGACTGCCCTCAGTTCCTTGCCTCCTCGACTTCCCGCAGGGCAGCCCACAGTATGGCAGTTTGCCTCATCAGTGCCAACAAATGAGGAGTCAGAGGGAGCAAGACAGAGCCATGGGCTTTTGTAACTTAGTCTCACAAGTGACATTCCGTCACTCTTGCTACATTCTTATTCATGAGTAGCTAGATCCAGCCCACCCTTTAGGGGAGACGATGAACACCAGGAGGTGAGGATTGGCTGTTTTAGAAGCCGCCTACCACATTTACAAAGGAATACATTATTAAAGTAATGCTAGCCTTTGTAACAAGAGAAACATGCTGAAATGTCTGAGACGCAATAGAAGCTTCATTCTCATTCATATAAAGTCTAGGAGGGTAAGTGAGTGACTGAGTGAGTGAGTGGGGTGCTCTGCTCTACAGAATTGGTCAAGTGTCCATGCTGCAGGAGTCATTGCCATCTTCCAAAAGGTGGTTCCAGGGTTTTCCTGGCTTGCATCATTCCAGAGGGCAGACAGGGAGAACAGAGTATGGAGGGCCACACTGGAGAATTTTATGCTCGTATGCTTTATATCAATGGCCAGAAGTCAGTCACATGACCGCACCTAGACGCAATGGGGCCTGGGAAGCACGGGGCAGCTGCCTCCGCTCTCCACTGTAGAAGAGGAGCCGTGGACCTTTGCTGGGCAGCCTGCCTGGTGTGCCACAGACTGCCATTTACCAAATGCTTTCACATGTATTATTTCATTTGTTTCTCATCACAACCTGTGCTATCAGCATTATTTTCCTTGTTTTACAGACAAGGAAACAGAGCAGCAAAGCTTTAAAACATTTAGGACTGGGTAATTAGAATAGGGTTCAAGTCCCCTCTCTGCCATTTACAGCCTGTATGACTCTGGAAAAGTTATTTAACCTCTTTGTTATACTGTGCCTCAGTTATCTCATCTGTGTAATGGGGCAATAGGACCTATCTATTCATAGTCATTGCAAAGATGTCATATGCTGCATCTAAGTCACTTAGCATTGTACTTGGCATATGTAAGTGCTTAATGAATATTAGTTTTAAGGAAGATGGTCATGTTCTATATGGACATAAAAAAGTTGAGGCTCAAAGCAGTTAAATGATTTACTCAAAGCTACACAACTCATCCACAGCAGAGCCAGGATAAGAAGCTGGGGACTTCTGCTAACAGCTTCCCTACCTTTCGAATTGTCACTTGCCAGGGAGGTCATTCCTCAGATTCCCGTGCCAAGCAGCAAGCAGCGAGTAAGCCCTGAGCCAGAGACACAGCGCCACGTGTCCCCTTCACCACCGCCTGGTGGACCCCGGGCCCCTGGAGAATCAACACCGCATCACCTTTTCATTCCGCCTGTTCTCTTTAACTCCTCCTTTGCCTTTTTGTATGAAACATGCTGACCTTACACCTCCTTTTTATTTGCTCTCTTAGGTCCTCCAAGCCCTGTATTTCAAGGTCTTTGTTTATAATTAGGCTCTGTCTTGCTAACTAGATAAAAACACAGGAAATGACGTAAGATTAGATATTTCATTAGACCTTTAAATTTTATCACATTTCTTCTAAAGCCTTATTCACTCTGAAAGAACAGAAAAGTATTTCACATGTTAAAAAGTCCCGGAAGCAAACCTTTGGGTAGGGTGGCTTGGCCAGCAAATGACACAGACCTACCAGGAATGGCCAGGAGATGTCATTAGAGGCTGCAGTGCTCAGTTGTAGGACCTCTGCCCTTTTTGTTATGGAGAAGGAGGAGGAAGCAGAAATGGACTTGTCAAACACGGTCATCGTCTCCAAAGCAGTGGGTTCATGGCCATCGGTGGGCAGATTGCCTAACTTCGGATCTCAGATTCGGCCACGAGTGGGACCCTTAATTTCAAGAGGTCTTTAAGACAAATGCCACTGATATAGGCCAAAACCACATTAAATCCACTTGACTGTGGATTATCAGTAGAAATTTCAGCTTTTATCAGTAAAAAATGTCCATTCGTCTCTCAGAAGTCCACTTTCATCTTTTCTAGCTGGACCACTGCTTGATATAGATCTTGTCACATAATCTTTCCTGTCAATGGCGTTGATTAGCACCTGTATTTAATTCAGTTCCTGGTGAAGAGGTAGGATTAGCTCCAGGCATCCTCACATGTTCCCCTCAGTGTCCCACCCCATCCCAGTGTCCCAATTTATCATTCTCTTGCTCAGTTTTTACACAAAGCTTTTTCTTTAGATCCCATGTTCAGACTGTTTAATCAAGGGACAAATCCATTTCAGACGGAAGGTTTTCCTTTTTCAAACTTGTTGAACAAGTGAATGTTAATCTTTCTTTGTTCAGTCTTCTGAGAACCTAGTTATTTCAACTTCTTTAAATGCCAGAGAAAAATATAGGCAGTATCTTTATAATACTAGCTATTTCAGATGGAAAAAGGAAAAAAATTAATTTGTCACCTGGAGTCATCTAAATAGCCATATCTGTATCATAAAACGCTGAAACTGAGTTGTAATTAAATTGTGTTAGTGTCACCACTGGGCATCCTGTGGTTTCAGGTTTTACAAAACTTCTTAGGGCACCACCTCCAGTTTCATTTCAATAACTCCTTCTTCTGCCTCTTCTAGGAACCAATGTCCATGAGGCCCAGAACATACTCAGTAACAGCGGGCTCCCAATTACCTCCGCCGCCGACCTGGAGGATGCAGCCAAGAAGGCTGTGGCTAGCGTGGCCAGGAAGTGACGGCTCTGTCCTCGTCCCTTGGAGGAGGAAGTCCATTTCACCATAAAAAGGGATGGTTCTCTCTTCACTGTGAAAGACGTGGTTATCTCATTGGGAAAACATGGGGAGGGCATGAGCAAGAATCATTGTATGAAAAATCTTAAATCTGAAGCTTGTGGAATAAGATATCTAGATATCCTAAATAATCTGATTTTACTTATAATCTATATTAAATCACTGCCCCCTGTTCTCATACTTTTCTGTCATGGTGAGCCTGCTCAGTAGATGTTGTGTTGCTGATTTGGGGGAGCAGTCTATGTGACCAAACGATGTGCATATATGTAGAATTTGAGGCCAGGCCCTCATTCGTTTACAGCAATTTTGGTGGACATTTAATCCTGCATAATTAAAAACAAAAATCACAGGTCATGAAAAACTCAGACAAGACTGCATTTAACAGATGAACTATCAAAAAGGTGCAGCTAAGACATTGAAACAAATAGCTGTTACACCCTGCAACAGTTTTTACAAGTTTCTAATTCTAGCACATGTTTGGAAAATCCATGAATATTCTAAAATATATTTTACATTGGAAGGTCCACACTAATATCCCATACATGTATTCTACCATTTGCCTTAATGTTGAATATACTGTTTACCTCACAGGAAAAATGAAGCCAGAAGCCTTATTTGTGATTTTTTGAGTAGAAGATTTCATTTTAATGGGAACACTGGAGAAAGGTGATTCTTATGGAAATCCCTGTAATTAAGACATTCCAAGAAGACACATCACTGAATATTAAATTATGTTTTGAGTGTCAGTATCCTTTCTTCCCTCCCTTTCCCCCCCACCCCCCGAATCTACCAGCTGGGAAATGTAATTAAGAGAATGTAGCTTTTTTCCATAAATGTCCGTTGGGGTAAGGGATTTCAATTATGTTTATGTTGATGTTTTGGTAAATTTTTATTTGTATACAAATTTAAATAAAATCTTATATTTTGTAAGCTCTAAGATGTGTGTGTTTCTCATTTTAAGCAATTTTATTCCTTAAATGATTTTTCTTTTGCTAAGACACTAGCCCTTGGTATCTTAGGCATATCAACAAAATTAGAAAATTTGGGCTATATGTTAGTTAAACAGTCCCAGGATTATTCCAGTTCCAATCAATTTTATCAGCAACCATTTGTTAGGAGATTATTCAATGAAAGAGTAAAAATTATATATATAAACAGGAAGCCCAGGTAAGTGTCACAGATGTCTAACAGGTTAAAATGTGACTTCAGTCTGCGTAATGCTGAAGGAAATCTATGGATGTAAACTCCCTTGTAATGAGGTTCAGTTGCCAGCACTAACAATTTTCCTTTCAATGTACACATATGTGGCAGACCCCACTTTTTTGTTTGTTTTTTTTACCCGTTAATATTGTTGTCATAAATTTTACATATAGAAAAAAGTTCAAAAGTCATTTTATAGATCCATATTTGCCATGGAAAAAGAAACCATTTAATATGTCAATCTTCAGTCCTTTTTCATTGTTATGCAATGACTGAAAAATATCAACAGTCTTTTTCAGTGTGTTTTGATTTTTGTTGCTAAAAGTATGCTAATTAGTATGCTAAAAGAAATATATACTTTTTCAATTAGACAAGAATCAGCATATTTGAATGTTTTGCTCTTTGTAAAGGCCTGTTTTCATGTCATAAGTATATATATGCATATATGTAGATGTTTCTAATCAATCCAGTTTAGAGGGGGGGGATAAAAGAATTAAATTATTCATGTGGTCATTTTGTAAGAGGGTTCATAACAAGCAAATAGCCAACCCCCATTTCATATTTCAAATAAGTGGTTGTAAGGATTGAGTTGTTGTTTTTTTTATTCTTGGAAGCTCCAAGTGTCTGAGTTTATATTGCTCAAATGCTGTCCCTGGTGCTGAGCACAAGTATAGATTCCATAATGAATTGCTGGCATGTGTGTGTGTGTGTGTGTGTGTGTGTGTGTGTGTAGGCCCAGCTGTACTGACTGCAGGCAGAGCAGAAGCAGCAGGGGCAGTGGGTGTTGGCAGTGGACCTGGAACCCTCCATATACTGCCTACTCCAACGTGCACTGTATTCCTGACCTTCCAGCATCCCCTTCAAGTCTTTGTCTCACCTGTGCTGTATGTAAATATGAAAAATACTTGCCTTTAAACCGGATCCATATTTTTTAAAACTTGGTTCTATGCTAAGCAAGAACAGCCATGAAATGAGGTGACTATCTGAACACCGTACTTGGTGTCTGAGAAACTTGCATAGTAGTACACACATTTTATCAAACTGCTTCACATGCAAGATTTTAACGGACTTGCTCTTCCACCATGTCAGTCTCCTAGAGCAAGCATGAGATTTAGAGGAAATTAAAGTCCTAACCCTCCCACTTATCAATGTTCGCTTGTTTGAGTTGATTAACCTATTGTGTTTATCCAGACTCCTGTAGCGACAAAAACTCAACTCAAGTTTAAGAAAAAAAAAGGGGGGGTGGGAACCATTTTGCTCTTGTGGTTATAAAAGACAGAGGTTTCTGGTTATAGTTAAGGTGAATCCAGAGACTGAAAACCACCAGAACCTGGACACCGCATCTCAGACCAGCTTGTCTCTGTGATGGTTTCCTTCTCAAGGCAGGCTATTTCCATGAGGCGGCAAAATGGCTGCTGGCTCTCTACTCTCAAGGTTAGCATCCCAGAAAGAAAAGGAGAGGGAGATGGGCAGTGAAAGACAAAAGGAACGGGAATAAAAGAAAGAGTGAGAGTGGGAGGGAGGAAAACAAAAAGGAAAGAAGCTTCTCTCTTATGGTAATTCTAAGAAACATCCCAGAATTAAGATGACCAATTTCGGGTCAGGAACCGATCTCTGAACCAGTCTTTCTGGGGCTCTGATGAGTCCAGTCTGGGTTAAATACCCACTTGTTCACCTGATGACAAAACCAGCCTCATCCAAACTATCGAAGCTGAGAGCAGTTCCATTAGGAAAATAGGAGATCTAATAAGAAGAAACAATGTATTTTGGGGAAAAAATAGAAGATGACAGCCACACTCATCAACCATAATAATTCAGTGAAGTTGAACAAATTATTCCACAAGGATGCTTCCAATTCTAAAATTTCTTGATTCTCTTCTATTATTTTCTCACCAGCTCTTTGGAGTCCATTTTTACTCATGCATACAAGTTACCACATTTTTTGTGTAGATGCTGCTTGAGTTATCTAAATATTTGACCTTAATTTGTCTTGAACAGTAATGTATACATAAAAAATAATGCCATTGAAGCACTTAGCTCAATTTTGGTTTTCTATTTAAGTTGCAATTCAATTCATGAATTAGTAAAATAGCCAAGAAACTTGCAATGACTTGAGTAAATCTGTGAATCGTTGTTAACTAGTTCTTTTACAATTTATATGCTATGTCCATTCCTCTCAATTTGCTGCCTGAGGGAAAGAAGTTATCCTAAAGAATTATATTGGCTTTTATTTAAGGCCTTAATAAAAATGAGGAGAGAAATTATAATTTGACATGTCTAAATTAAACATTTGAAAGTCAGTGATTATTCACAGAATGCAATATATGTTCAAAACTTCTAAATAAATGAAAAAAAACATACTAGTGGTGAAAAACAATGTGGGGAAGGATATGTTCTTACGTTAACTTCTAGATCCAGAGTTGGCAAACTAAGGCAGGAGGGACTATTTTAGTAAATTGTTTTATTGGTTCATAACCACACCTGTTTGTTTACATATTGTTTACAGCTGCTTTCACTCTACAGCAGCAGAGTTAAGTAGTTGTAATAGAGACATATGGCCCTAAAATATTTACTATTTAGCCCTTTATAGAAAAGGTTTGCCAAACCCTTCCTTAGATAAATTTAAAAAATAAAATATTTCCCCCAAAATGAGAGCAAAAAATTGTTTCCAAACCTGCAAAAAGCAGATTTAGGCATTCAAGTGAAACAAATGAATAACTAGGAAATATGATCTTTGATCTTTCCATTTTAAACTCTAAGAAGTCACTAGTCTACAAAAAGCCATTTGCTAATGAAAAACTGTTCAATTACGTTGATTTGTGTCTTTCCATCACCACAGGAATTGCCTGCAGTTAGCTTGGTGCTTTGGAACATATGCTCCTCTTAACTACTTACAGGTGTGTTGGAATAATATAAAATCATGACTATGAATATTGAACTCCCAATGAACTGTACCTCTCAAGTCATCCTCTAAGTGGTTTTTGCTAGAGACTGTGTTGTACGTAATTTAATCTTGAGGTTCTGGGAAGATAAGAAAGCAATGGGAAAAGTGATTTCAGTGCACCTGATCCCCACAACATGCTGCAAAGACACTGTGCTATTTACCATTGAGGAAACAATAACAGGTGAGATCAAGTTGCTCTGCTAATGTTAGATAGTGGTCAAGTGTAAGCTTCTGAACTTCTGAGTCTTGTATAATTCTATCACTTCTGTTCATCAGTGCCCAGTAAAACTTTCTGTGATGACAGCAATGGTAAGTGTTGATACTGCCTAATATGAAGCCACTAGCCACATGTGACTACCGAGTACTGAGAACAGAGTTTTAGTCTATTTAATTTCAATAATTAATAACAACATGTTGCTGGTCGCTGCCATATTGGACAGCATGGCTCTGTGGTCTAAATCTAACTGGTCTTAGGATGCGTTACTTTCATTTCATGGGCTCCCCATTGATTCAGAGCTTACTGTGTGCCAGGAACTTGACCTCTATTGCCTTAATTAAAGCTCTCTGCAACTTTGTGAATCTATCATTCCTGTTGTAAGATGAGAACATTGTATCTCAGAAAAGGTAAGAGCATGACCAAGAACACACAACTGGTATTTGGATGGTCAGTCTTGAAACTCTGGTCTTCTGTGTCCAAAGCCACTGCTCTTTGTTTTAAAGCTGTAAGGACCCAAATTCAATATAATTGTGCCGCTTATAGTCATGGATAATTTGAAAGAATGTTGCAGACAAAGCCGTTTAGGAAGCTGGGTTCTTGAATGTATTGTCTCTATAGTGTACCCCATGCCTTGGGGAGCAAAATTTAAAAGCTGAAAGATTGCCCTTTGCAGTTGGACAGATTGTAAGACTACAATGGCAATGGCGCCTTCCTAGGCTCACACAGTGCACAAGGCAGGGGCTGTTTTCTAGGGACCTAATCCTAAGTGCCTTCTCGTTAATTTACTGCCTTCCCCAACATATAAAACCACCCACAAGACAAAAGGCAGCGGCAGGTGAGGTAAAGCTGGAGAGAGAGTATTATCAGCAGTAGGAGAAAATTTAGTTAGTAACATCCAGTGAAACTGGAGTTTACTTACTAGCTGAATGCATTCAATTTAAAAAGCTACAAGTTTACTTTACACAGTCCCTTGTTACGGATCTTAGATTAATTTGCAATGCACATCTTCTATAAGACTGAAAATGTATGTAAGTTCTTATAAATAATATTCTATTTTGGGAAAATACTAAATTGTAAAAGAAAAGAAAATGTGATCAATACAGACCCAAGTAAAAGTTCGTTTTTAAACTGGTCTATTTAAATAACATTTAAAGATCTCCTCATTCACTTTATATTGGCGTATTTTCCCCAGCGTAAATGCTAACTTTGGTTTTAGGCCTAGGATTGGAATAGTTAGTGATTCTCAACTAGTATAGATTTCATGGATATGCCCCTCCCAGTTTTGTTCAATACATAGAAACTAGTTTTTCTACAGTCTGAGTTGTGAAGTATTAATGATGTGTTTCATGTTCCACTGAAGTGTGGTGTCTACAACTCTAATATTTGAAATTATGCCACACTGTGTTCTGGGGATGTACATCAAACAGTGTGTGGATCTCTGTTGAGGCCTTTGGTGAGGGTAAAACTTGCTGTTTAGGAAGCAGCCTAGTATAAGGACAGCCAGCTCCTCAGAAACATGATTGGTTAAAGGAAACAGCAGAACTTTGCCTCCTGAGGATATAGAAAAGCATGTTCA